GTGTGTGTGTGTGTGTGTGTGTGTGTGTGTGTGTGTGAGAGAGGAAATGTTTGGGTGTGTGGGTGAATGAAAGCCACTCAGTAATGAATGTAGAGTGTGTGTGTAACAGAAATGTGGAGAGAGAGAGAGTGAGTGATGGCGGAAAAGGCCGCCCTGGGTGTCACAGGGCCCTGGTAGCTTGGCAACGCTCCACACGCCACGGTGGATGTCCATGGGGACGGTGAACAAAGGGCAACGAAGAAATGCGGAGGGAAACGAAACAGGCCCGAGAGTTGATGTTTGTGTGTGTATTTTTTTTTATGCAAGAATTATTCAGTCACAAAGAACATTTTTTGAAAGTTTCTTAACGGCACAGTGTGTAGGAGTCCAGCGGTGTGGTTGCAGATTGTAACCAGCTCCCAACAGCTCGCTCCTCCCTTTCCAAGACTGCAGTATTGTGAGGCCGCCGAGTGCAAAAACGTGGCAATGGCGATGATTCGCACAGAGGCCGTCCATACCATAATAATACTTGTTTAGGGGCAACGGGAGTCGGACGGCGGCTGGCGGCTCGACGGTTTCGCACTCTGCATCTAACATTACCACAGTTTCACAAGCGTGTAGGAAAACTTAAGTGGCCTTCAAGTAATGTAGAAACGCGAAAGGCTCTCTTTAGAGCCGCTGTTTGGTTTGTCCGTTCCGGGCTACTGTAGAAACATGGCGGTAAGACATGGCAGACTCCGTGAGGAGGACCTGCTCCCTATAAAGATATAAAGGGCTAATTTGAAGCACTTTGATTCTTGGTTCTTGGCTAATAGATAGCTACACCAAAACTAAGATCAACTATTTATTTTACCAATTTATATATATTTATTTGTTCCACTGCATCTGGTTGTTGAGCACAAGTAAGCACAAACAAAAAATGTCTTGAATGTATGTAGTCAAGGCTTCTGGAATTTACTCCCTGCAGACTTGTCTTCCTTGTTCAGTGTCGTCATGCATCTTGAAATAGCTAAAAATGGCCTTTTACTATTTGCTCACGATCGTGTGTGTGTGTGTGTGTGTGTGTGTGCTATACAATACATCTGTCCTCTTGGCCTCCACAGCTTGCCTGTCTGACCCTGCAGCTGTCCTGCTATGCTCAGGGTCTATTGACACACACACATGAACACACAATGCACAATCCATGCATTAGAGATGATGTCATGTGCATACTCAATCTCACTGGTTTTTTGAGGGGAAAAACCCTAAAAGAAAACTGATTGAGTTGAATGAGGCTCTTGTCCTTGTGACCGTCCGAGGTTAAAACCACTCTGGAATGTGTTCACAGTTTCTCTAACAGTGTGTTTGTGTGTGTTTTTCTGATCAGGGCAAAGCGGCCTGGGGAAGTCCACTCTGATGAACACCTTGTTCAAATCCAAGGTGAGCCGTAAGTCGGTGCAGCCGAATCCGGAGGAGAGGATCCCCAAGACCATCGAGATCAAGTCCATCAGTCACGGTTGGCCAGTGTTCATGTCCAGTAGCCTACAGCCCAAAATATTAATAGTATTGTTAACGTGTGTTATCATGATACTTACTGGTTTTCTGTGTATGCGTGTCCAAAAGAAATACAAATTAAATAGCCTTTCTTTTGTCTAGACATCGAGGAGAAAGGAGTGAGAATGAAGCTGACGGTAATTGACACTCCGGGCTTCGGGGATCAGATCAACAATGAAAACTGGTGAGCGGAGGATACTTTATCTGAAGGCCTCAGTAGCTGTTACGAAGGGCATCTCCATCACTGCATTCGTTACTATTTCATTCTGACCCGGTTATCAAAGCCAAAGTTCAAAGTTTGGTCCTTTTTTATTATGTTATATAGAATATGAAAGCAATATAAAATGCTTGGTTAGCTTGAGTAACTGTAAGCAGGTTTGGACGGTGGGCTGACCCAAACGTAGCTTCTCATTCCTGTTTCCTTTGCCAGCTGGCAGCCCATTATGAAGTTCATCAATGACCAGTATGAAGCCTACCTGCAGGAAGAAATCCACATCAACAGGAAGAAGAGGATCCCGGACTCCAGGGTGCACTGCTGCATATACTTCATTCCTCCCACAGGCCACTGGTAAGATCCCATGTTAAACTTTCTGCCCCTCGTTCCACCGATTTCTCCCACAGCTTCAGTGACTAATCGGGCCTTCTGGGGATGTCCCGCTGGACCCCGTTGTCTGTCCACAGCTCTTTAACCACATTCCTCTCCAGCTCTTCTTTTATCATCTCTCTCTTTTTATTGACCACATGTGGAACTCATTCCCTCCCCAGAGACACTGAATATCCCTCGAAGAGTCGGATTTCACAACGAAATTGGACTCTACAGTTCTCATAGTTGAGAGAGGTAGAGAGACATGGGAAACAATTATCAGGATGTAAAAGTGAGAAAATGTTGTTAAACATAGAGATGGGACACCAAGTGGTTCACAGATCCATCCCAGGTGGAGTCCGACATGGTCCTCAATTTGGCACAAGATTTTCCCGAGTGAGAGGCTTGTGCAGAAATAAAACCGGTCTCGGCAGAGCACACGTCTCTGTTAAAACAACCAGGGTTTGATTCGTGTTGACACACTCTGCTGCTGCAGAGATGACGCAAAACCACATTTCTCCTTCTGCTTTTGTCAGTGATTAGGGTCTTTTTTTTCTTCTCCAAGCCCACTCTGTAATTTGTTCCATTTGATGGCGATGATTGGTCTGTCCGTACGTGCACCAAGGGTCAAGGAGGGAGCACAGCAGGGCTCGGTGCTCACACAGAGGATTTACTGTTGATGGAGGAACCTTGGAAGGAGCGTTGTATTGTACACATGTGGATAAAAGCACACAAAACACCCACGCGCACCAACCGTCTAAGTATCTCCGTGAAGGCTTAATACTTCTGTGCACCAGCAGCTCAACAGTTGTCCACTTAAGCGTTCCATCCGCAACGTGTGTGTGTGTGTGTGTGTGTGTGTGTGTGTCCCACTGTTTGACAGACCCCCTCATCATCTGCTCACGTCGCCACAGCTGCAGCTTCTGAGAATGTATGTATGTGTGTTAGTGTGTCCCTGTTCATGTAAAGAAGTGCGTGTCGTGGACTCAAGTGGGCAGTGGGCATGCTAACACTTGTAGCCTGTAACTACACTTGTGTGTTTGTGTCGCAACTTACAGCTGCTCAGTTCAGCCGGTTCAACGGCGCGCACAAAACGCTCGCCTCTATCTCGTTCATCCACGCCGTATTCAAAGTCTCGCTACCCACGCGCGTATCAACGTCCCCGGCCATGCACTGAAACGTGTCCATGAAAATACGCACTCATTTTGAAAAACTAAGATGCAAACATCTGTCAGGAAGTGCTGTCTTCCTCGCAGCCAACCAGAGAGTTGTAGGCAACAGGACGAAGGAGACATGTGTTGGGGCAACTGGTATGACCTGGCACAGATATTAATGTATGTCAAAAGATGTAGTGTTGTTGTATGAGACTTAGAAAAGGCATCATATGGCACATACTTGCAATCACATCTTCTATGTACCCAAAAATGTGTTTGAACCTTAAATAAACAACATAATAACACTTTGATTTGTGCTAGATTTTAGCCTGTTTCATGAGGAAAAAAGTGCTGGAACAAATCTCAAAAAAATGTATTCTCCTTTTCACAAAGTAACGGCAGTTGAAGTTTTAAATTATGCCTGTAACCAATTACGGAGACGCAGCGCCAGAAGCCTCTTAAACGCCTCTGCCATGTGACCACAGGCCTCTTATCATTGCAGGCAGCTCTTTGGATTGTCTTTTCTCTTTCTTTTCTTTTTTTTGAGGTGTCCTAAGCAGCAGTTTGTATTTATCGAGGCTCTAATACAATTTGCACGTCAGCAATTTGCTTTTAAGTTGCTTCTGTGGGTTTACCGGCTGATGAACGGCGCTCGGTGAAGCGGAACACGCTCACGGCACCGGCAGCCATTTCCGACGATGGCAGAGTCAGCCACGCTGTTTCCCCTTCTGGGCCATCTTGTTGTTACCTTATTTAAGCATGCCCTCCTGAGAAAAAGAACGTCCGCACTTTGACTCCCATCGACCCAGAGCTGCTTTCTGATCCATTATATAAAAGAGGGAAAGGAGAGGTATCTGCGCTTGTGGTTGGCTGTCCTCTCCACTTCTAATTTGACCTCAGCCTATTGTTGTCAATTCACATAAACATAACTCAAATTTGTGCATGCGGGCATTTAAAGTGGACGTCTGTGCGTGCATGCACGCATACTCATTCCTCCTCCGTATGTTCATGTGCAAAGATGCATGTGTACACATGAAAGTGTGCATCTTTGCTCAGCCATGCGTGTGACACGCCTCGCATGCCAATTTGTACGTTCTTGCATCTGCACATAAGACAATTTACGAATGCGTATGTGTAATTTATATTCGATAAACATTCACACGGCGAAATCGCGAAATCTTAAACCTCTTTTTTTTCCACTTTTGATTTGTCGCTATCCTACCTCTCTGCATGCATGCGACACATGCCACTTTTCCACTCAGCATGAAAAAAATGCATAACAACGTAGTGAGGTTTGGTTGAACGCACCGCTCACTGTGTCACCTCTCTTTACCTTTTGTGCAGCCCTTTTTCTCCTTTCCTCTGTCTCGCTCCATGTAACACATGACCCCCCCTCCCCCCAACCCCCTGTGTTTCCTCCTATGTTCACGGCGACATGCTTGTCAGTCACTGTGGAGAGCCAGCCAGGCCTCTCCTCCGGCTGCCCCTGGGTCTTTGAAACAGGCTCGCCTGGCTTGGCTCGGGCTAATTGGAGGGCAGAGCAGGCAGCGTGAGGGGAGGCTGGAGGAGCAACTGGAGGCCACGTTAAGATGGGGAAAAAACACTGAGGGCAGAGAGAAATAAGAAAACACACAGGAGCAGAAGAGCAGTTTAGAGTAAGCAGTAAGGCTGTTACAGGAGAAAAGTAAAACACCTTACTTGAAATGGCAATATGTTTTCCTCCAAATTTGCGTGAAAGCAAGAATATTAAACACAAATGGAAAAACGGCAAACAAAGACCTGACTGTTGTATCTATTAACCCTAAAAAAAATGAATGTGCAAGCTCTGCAGTTTCCTGAAATCACACCTAGGAGAGTGTAACAATAAAATGGTTTCAACGAGTAAAGGAAAGTAAACAGCAGCTGATGTTTGAGTGTCCACATGAGAAACCAGGGTCAACCGAATGTAACGGAACAGACCGTGATTGCCCTCTAGTGGTTTATGTTGTTCATTCCCTTCATTTTTAAGAATTCACATACTGTTACTTCCTGTAGCAGAAGGTTTTGTTTCTCTGTGCCACAGAGGAACAAAAAAGGAAATAATAAAATGTTTCACAAATCTGCACTGCTGTGTAACCCCATAGTTACAGTGTATGAGAGTGAAATGAAGCTGTACTGTCATCTCTATCTTCCCTTTCAGCCTGAGGCCTCTGGATGTGGAGTTCATGAGGCGTCTGAGCAAGGTGGTCAACATCGTCCCCGTCATCTCCAAGGCCGACACACTCACCCTGGAGGAGAGGGACTACTTTAAGCAGACGGTGAGAGGAGTGTGCGCGTTTAGATGAGAGCGGTGCTTTTTTTTTTTTTTTTTTTTTCTTTTTTTTTTTTATGAGGCTGGTTTTCACATGTGGCTCTGGTTGATCTCATACCCTCCCCATCACACCTGCAATAACCTGTAGCGGGTCTTTAAAGCTCGAAATACACGGATGATGAGTAGGTTAAATCGTCGGCGGATTACCCCCCTCACAGACGCACATGTTTATGCACATCCACAACCACAGGTCGGTAACATGTGAAGAGCTGCCAGGCACCACAAACAAAAGCCATCTGGGCAAACCCACATTGTGCACCCATCCTGGGGATTAGTCTGCCGTATCATCTCTATAACTGCAGCGCTTCCACAGTCCTGCTCAGTCCAGAAGGAAACGTTTAGGAAGTCTTTATTTGAAGCATTTATTTACTGAGCAGCGCTCTTCAACTCTTAAGTCTGGCTCTTTTTCAGATGACGAACGTCTGCCCAGTTGCCATCCGAGCAGGCAGGCCCTTCATTACCAGGGAATTACTTGGTGACGTCTGGAAGTTCAGAGAGGTCTCCGCCTTCTGGTGCATGAAAAATAAATAAACATGACCTCTGTGAAACGTTAGCAGATTCGAAAGAGCTGGAAAGAAACATTTTGTTAACAATGAATATCATCAGTTCCTACAAGTAAAACCAAGGTCATTTATCCGTTTGTGATACTTTGGTGATAGTCAAGGCTCTTTTGAGTTTGCGTATCTTTATTTTAAACTACTGTACGTGGTCAAAGTCATCACATGTATACAGGCTAAACATTAGAGAGCTATGAAGGTTTTCACTTAAAAGGCAGGTTTTTAAGCAGAAGGCCTAGTTTAGTAACGCATGATAATATCCTGTTAATAATCCAATGCCTCTTAAAGGACTAGTGTGTACAATCTGGCGTCATCTAGTGGCGAGCTTTCAGATTGCAGCCACTTGGAACTCCAGCGTGCCAAGCGTGTTGGAGAACTACGGTGGCCGAAAACCAAAGAGAGAAAATGTGATTTTTTACACTAAAGAAAACACACTTATTAATATTATCTTCCATCGCTGCCAATAGATTCTCTTAACTGCTACACACTGTTCCATAAAGCATGCTTTTTTTTTTTTACAGACTCTTTCTCTCTCTCTCTCTCCATATCTACCTGCATTTGTATTATGAGTGTAATTCTTTCGTCAAAAATGACTGATGGCATTATTATTTTCTTTTTCAAATGTTCTATTCTATAGATATATCGCGATAATATCGCTATCGTGAATTCTTTTGGCCATGATAATCGTGTAGTGAAAATCTGATATTGTGACAGCCCTGCTTGGTACGTTGCAGTAGTCTGACTCCTCTGGCGGATAATCCCCCCCACTGTAACCTCGCCTCCTTATCGTGACTTTCCCTGCTACAACACATTCCCGCTCCACCTGGCTTGAGTCTTATACGGTCTCCGCTGCATCCCTCCCTCGGTGTGTTTTTGTTGGATAATTCACAATCCACAGGAGGCAGACAGCCACCTGCCTTCCTCCACCATTTCCTTTAAATCTCCATCCCTCCTTCCAAGCCTTCAGACTTCCCTAAAAAGCTTTATTCATTTTAGAGAAGCACGATGGGTGTCTTGGCTACCGTTTCCTCCCCTTGATGCCCGTAACAACGTCCAATAAGAACAAAGCAGGGATTGGACCGGACCCTGGCAGAGAATGGAAGCCGCAGGGCTTGTAGCTGGATTGTTTTGGTTGGCCGCACATGCTCTGTGTGACCCTGAAGATTATTGACTAAAAGCCTCCCGTGCCAAGTGTTTTTTTTCACTTTCTCTGCAGCATCTTGCAAACAGAATAAGGCCGTTTTTACTATTGAGTGTTCAGCCTCGACGTGTCCAGCTGTGAGTGTCTGTTTGCATTCCTCTAACTGACAGTTGATGTGGCTTTTTCACTTGGTTTGCGTCCTATAATGTGAGCCTGAGAAAAAGCTTCCAAGGATAAACAATGGAGTGTTTGATCACGGACCAAGTGGAAATTGTCGGAGTAGTAATTGTGGGAGTGAAGAGTCATTCATTAACAGAACGTTTCTCCCAGAAGCTTGGCTGTCTATTTTTCTGTTTAAGTCATTATAAATACATATAAAGAAAAGCAGGGGCCATTCAATAAGCCATACCGCTGTCTGGATGTCTTTTTTTCTTTTCTTCTTCCTTAGAGTGGTTAACCTCCATGTTAACTCCTCCGTGTCAAGGGTATTAGGAGTCATTTCATGTCCAACACCAGACGGTATGACATAAGCAATTATTTATTTAAGTCCTAGTGAGTTCAGAGCAGCTTCTATTCAAGTCTCCGGCCCAGACCTAAATACCTATATGTAAACAGGATGAAGTCCAGGCATCAAGTGGTGTTTGCATGTTACGGTGACTGATTGATTTCACATGTTGGCCAGCATTGAGAGATGATGGATGAATGGTTTGGTGCGGTTTGATTTCTATGCCAGTCGGACCTTCCTTTGGTGTCTGTTTCAGCTCTCATAACTAAAAACCTTTTTGGATTCAGCAATTGTGAAAAATGTGATGACCAAGACTCTGTTGATTATATGCTACGTAAGATAACTTTGAGGTGCTGTTCCTGTGTATATTCAGCCAATTGTATTTCATGTTTTCCCGTGTCATTGTGCTTGGCTCTGTGCAGATTAGGGAAGAGCTGCGAGCCAACGGCATCGACGTTTACCCCCAGAAGGAGTTTGACGAGGACGCAGACGACAGGATGATCAATGACAAAATCAGGGTGAGTTCAGTGGAGGGCATCCTCCTGTGGCTCCAGACATCACGGCACTCACAAATGTGTAATTTGCAGGTTTAAATTAGGTTGTCATGTGTCATTTATTTTTCTTTTTGAATCCTAGTTTCCTTTTTTTTTCATTGGAAATATTCGGAAGTCACGACTGTCACAAAAAATTAGAAAAAACAAGTCAATAACAGCATGTTGTTCTCGTAATGGTGAACAACCAGAAGCATGACCTGAAAAAAAATCGCTGTGTCGCTTCAATGAGTGCATCTGTGTGTGTGTGTGTTTGTGTGTTTGTTTGCATGTGTGCACTCAACAGGAGATGATCCCTTTTGCTGTTGTGGGCAGTGACCAGGAGTACCAGGTGAACGGAAAGAGGATTCTGGGAAGGAAGACAAAATGGGGCACCATAGAGGGTAAACACACACACATATAAAATTGCACAGCTCATCCTGTCAAACAGACCATAGAAAATGATTCACCAGAGAAGTCTCGTGAAGGTCTGAAGACCACAGATCAGCATCAGTTAAAGCTGAAATCCATTGAGGTTTTTAAAATAACTCGTACATTTCTATAGTACAGATTGGCCTTATCATATATTATAACGGCCATCTGCACGGCGTAATTCCGTTCAAACACTAAAACGTCTCATTTACCAAACTCGCACCTGGATTCCCACCTGTTCAGCGCGGAGGCCTTTTAGCGTCATCCCTCTGATAGATAATCCCATTCAGCTGATGGCATTCACACAACGTACCAGCAGCAACAGCTTCGCAAGACAACAGACTCTCATTTTTGGTGTATTTTCAACATGTGAGAATTTACGAACTGCAGATTTTAAAGTCCGGCCAGCTGGTTCGACCATCTGTTGTTTGACTACCAGGCGTCTGTGTACATACGTCTCTCTGCGTCTGTAACTAGGGACACGATCGAGACAGGAGGAAGAGATTTGCACGGACTTCCTGTGTCCTCTGGGATAATGCGGACGCACTGCCTCACACTCACTTGCGACTGTGATACAGTTTACATTTTTGTTGGCCCGTGCTGCATGCTCACACTGCCAAGGAGGTTCTTAGCAAGCGAATGTCCTCACTGTGTGTGTGTGTGTGTGTGTGTGTGTGTGTGTGTGTGTGTGTGTGTGAGAAACAGAGAAAGAAAGAGAGGGAGAGGACATCTGTCAGATCAGGAAGTAAAAGTATGATTGGAGGACTTTTACTGTTAAACAAACACTGTTTCCTTCCCAGGATGCACTTCAGCACCCTCTTCTGCAGTGCATACTGAGCTGTAGTTTATGGGCCGCACTATGAATGCATTGTAAAACTTAAGTATCTCACTAAAAATGAACCATTTTTATATCCTGTAAATTATTCAGACTGTAGAATCCAGAAAGCTGCCTGTCTATTTCATCTGTGATTTAGTGTTCACTGGGAATATGACCGTCAGAGACACGTATCCATGTAAAGCTAGCTCAGATACTGTTAAACTCTTAACTTTCCCATATTGTAGAAAGTGAGATTTCCATGTCTTTTTGTTTTTAAAGCAATCTAGTTGCTATATAACTACTGTGAAAGTATCACAACGCTCAATCCACCGAGAAATGTACACGGTCCATATTCAGAAACTTCAACTTCAAAGGAGCCGTTGCGACTTCAGTAAGGTTGTGATGTCACGACGATACAGTCTTCAGTAGAAATGTTGCTAAACTCCATGTAGCAGTGAAGCTTTGAAGACGGTGAAAGGTGGAAGACCTGAAACGTTGACCAATCAGAGCAGGCTTTTCTCGGGAGGGGGACTTAAAGAGACAGGCGCTGAAACGGAGCGTTTCCGACAGAAGGTGAATACAGGTACATTTAGACATGCAGTATGAGAAAAAGAATGTGTTGTCTGAATATTAAAGCATGTAAACATAGTAGAAACCCAAAATACAAGTATGAATCTGGAAATAAGTATAATATGTCTCCTTTAAATGGTGTACTTCTTACTTCTTTCACCACATTAACAGGACATAGTGGATCACACGACTCCGGAGTGGACAAGTGAGCAGGAAGCAATCTAATCAAGATGTAAAATATAAACATGTTGCTGTTGCAACTTTATATATATTCCTATTATGTTACTTATAATGCATGATTACATTGGTCCTACTTGAACCTCATGCATTTAGTTCAAGCTAAAACAAAGCACTTGTACTCCCTGAAAAGATGACATTTCTGAGGTAGTACCATGAGCCCTTTTAGGGGTGGCTACGCCACTCTCTCAGCAGGCATTGTGAAATTAACTCCACAGAACGGCAGGGCGAGAAAAGGTGAAGTACACCGACTGTCTTGTTCGGCTAAAAGAACAATGGCTCAACTCTAGTAAAGCCAGGCGGTGGAGGGAGGGGGGGGGGGGGAGAGGGAGAGAGAGGCTGCTGAGTGGAGTGTTTTCAGGGGTTTGGGGGACAAGTAGAGATGAAAGGAGGAAAAGGAGTAGAGTCAGGCATTTAAATGTATATACCGTATATAGGGTCTTATAGGGACAAGAGAGTGGAGATACCAGCAGTGCAGCTCGCTACAAGTAAGTAGCGCCTTCCCTCAACGCCACTAATCAGCGCTCCCAGACCCAGCCGTTATTCCACTCTCCTCTGTTCAAAGAGAATTTAATTTCCTGCCCATGGATTTCAAAGCTTTACATAAATAGCACCCTCCTCTTTTTTTCTTCTTCTTTTTCATTTACACTCTTGACATAATCTATAATTCAAACATGTGTTAGCTCTACCGGAGGCACCAGCAGCTTGTCACGGGGAGTTTGTTAAAACGTCTCACTTAAAGTTCTCCAATATAGAGGAGAGCCGAGATGTATTAAATTTCTCAAAGTGTGTTATCTTGGCTTAAGAGAATTGCCGGAGATGTCATGTTGGAGGACGCCCTTCAGGCGACAACACTGCCGTTCTGTGGTGCTTTGAGGAATGGCAAGTGCAGTCACTGCATCACTTCAAACTGTGTGTGTGTGTGTGTGTGTGTGTGTGTGTGTGTGTGTGTGTGTGTATAAAGTCGAGCCTAAATCATCTTGACTTGCTGCATAAAAAGCAAAACAGTCGAGATTGTTTTCGTGAATCTTTCTCAAGTTACGTCATTCAACTAATGTTTCCTCTTTTTTTTCCCTCTCTCTGCAGTTGAGAATATTGCACACTGTGAGTTTGCTTACCTGCGAGACCTCCTCATCAGGTGAGCATCCATAAGTTGATTGAACGGATTTAAAGATACGCAGGAACTGATATCGGTTATGGACCGAGTCTCCGGCTAGATTGGAAGCAACTCACTTTATTTGTAGAAATGAATTGGGAAGGGCACAGAGACTATGAAGCTACACTTCCCCACTGACATCAATACTAATGAAATTGTTTTCGATGGCTTGAGTGCTTCCCTAGACGGTATTACAACAGGCCTGTCAAGGAAGCTTCTCCATTTGATGTTAGCATTTGAGCTTGTTAGTACAGGAGTCTCATCCGTAGACCGTGGAAGTCTGACATAATATTCTATGAATAAAAAAAACCTGAATCGTATCTGCTTATTCTCAAAACCCAAATGAGCCAAACTGATTGGTATTGGTCACCGTCACCCACTCGTGTCTGTAATCCTGAACCAGAGTGGAGGAGACAGACAGACGCACAGAACGCATCACTTGTTCGGTTTCTTACCACTGGGATAAAACATGTAAAATAACACAAGAGCTTGTAGGCATCTGCTGTAAAGCTATTCTTATTGGTTTTTGCAATACCGTCTTCTGTCTTTCAGGACACACATGCAGAACATCAAGGACATCACAGGCAGCATCCACTACGAGACGTATCGTGTCCGCCGGTTAAATGAGTCCAACGGCCACTTCACCTCTCACCTGTCCGACCATCCAGATGTCCAGCCGACGTCCAACGGACAGCCCGAGGAGCAGCCCGAAGAGCAGCCCAGCGGCGCCCCGCAGGCCAACGGAGTGGCCGCTCAGCACGAAGTCCGGTCCCACGAGATGTAGAGTGAATATATGATGTCAGGATTTACATGAACAAGCCCACATGCACACAAACGCACACACACACTCATGCTGTGAAGCCTATCTTTTTGTTACCTAGAAGGACTAACTACCTAACCACAGGAAGTTCCACGACACATGATTCAGAGTAAATCCAAACATTTTCCCCCCTTCATTACAATTCTTAGCAAAATGATTTCTTTCCTGCAAATCCACATACTGTACAGGACTCCCCCATCCGTCTGACTGCACAATGCAAACTGCATTCAGGGTTGTTTACAACAATAAACCATGAAACTTGTCAGGTAAACAAAAGTAAATCTATACGTTTCAATGCGGAGCTTTGGCTGCTGGGTTTAGTTGTAGAGCAGATTTTGATCAGAACCAATGAGCATGATGGAAAAGGGGTGCCCATAAGAAAGGGATAAGAAAGGCCTGTTGTGTTCAGAATACCTTTGCAGGATCTTGGGTTGACAGGTTTAGCCATTCAAGGTTGTCCAGATGAGGATACATGGCATAATTCAAAAAGTACAGCATATCAGATACACATTAGCTCTAAACTAAGATGAACTGTCGGTGCCAATGGCCTGGTCTGCTTTGTGTTGTGGTGTATAGTTTTGTATAGGAACTAAGGTTAAGTAGGGATATTTAGATTAGGTTCATAGTCTCATGGAGAAAGTAAAGATATTGTTGACATCTCCGCACTGCAAAATAATAATAAAAAACTAAAGCAGTGGCAGTGTGGAGCAGCTTTCGGAAGAATTAGTCCCCATTGTCATTTTTCCATTTTATGTTTTTAAACCCCCCCCCCTTTTTTTGCCAAACCACCCTGTCTCTTTCTATATAATGCCAATGTTGTGTAATAGTCATACCTTCTGCCTTTTACATTTACTATTGTATTTTTATTGCTGTTGTTCATGTTCTAATGTTATTGTATACAATGGGAGTTGTGGAGGAATCTGTGCAACTGTTGTCCCATGCATTCGTTTTTGTCCATTTTTATCCCGACCAAATAAAAGTCATTTATTTTCTGTTCTAAAGAGAAGCACATACAGTATATAGAGTTGATTTATGAATAGATATTTATGTTGTATGTTAAGTGTAATCAGTTTAATTCAACTTTCATTCCAGCTGTTGGCTTCCAGAGGTTTGTTGCAAATCTTTTAGCTTTAGACGGTGTTTGTTTTTAGTGGCCTGCATTCAGACACTGTTGTACCCTGTTGGCTCGGCTGCACTATAACTAGCACCAGTGTGCAGAAGTTGTCTATGTTTGTACATTAATTATTAACGATCACAAACCAATCCTGCCAATAGATAACGGTTAGAACAGTGATATTTACAGTGCAAGATTATGTGGACATATTACTACCACTGAGGGGAAGAATTTGTGCCAAAATAACCCAACATTACAGAGAGAGAGTTTTTGTTAATATTTGGGATAAATGTGCACATTGATACAAACTCATGGGATATTTTATAGAGGCTACATCTAAATTTTAAACATATTTTCTAACAAAAATAAAGTGTTTTCTCTCTTTAAGTCCCAACAAAAATATGTTCCATACAAACATACAGAAGAGAGAATACATTCAAAGACCAAGAAAGAACTATTGTCTTTTATCCAGAGAAAGTTATTGGGTTACACCTTGTTTACTGTTGTAAAGTTCTTGTGTAATTTGTTATGGTATCATAGATTAAGGTTCTATCTTTGATATGCTATCTTAAAGAATAAAGATTGATATTTTTATTGTTAAACGTTGATTGTCTTGATTGTCGAAACTTAATTCAGCGAAAGACGGGCAGCTTTGAGTTGATGCTCCTCTGTGCCGACGATTCCCAAAAGTTTAATTAATTAGAGCAATTTTTAAAATGCCAAACACATAAAAAACATGCCAATATTCAGTATATCAATATCAGTTTGGTGACCAAGTTAAAAATTACATTCTTTAATTTGTTCAAATATTGTTAGTGTATCCTGTTTTCAAATGATTTATATTAGATTTAGATTTCACCTCAGATATAATTGCCGGAACCAAATATTTTTTTTAAATCTAGAACATCTTAAAGAAGTCCTTCAATGTCTTTTAGCCGTTCTCGAATCAAAGACCTACATTACTCGCTTTTCCTTGTCAAACATTTGTCAATTTGGGAAAAAACTCCTTCAAGAAATGTAAATTAGAATCACCGCCTTCGCCAACCAGTGACCTCCCAAAATTGAATCAGGTCAGCGGGCGTTTGTGTCAAATTCACTTGAGGTGTTTCCGAGATATCATGAGAATGGGACAGACGTGAGGTCACAGTGACCCTGACCTTTCACCTTTCACCACCAAACCCGAATCAGTTCATCCTTGAGTCCTAATTTGAGACATCACGTTCACCAGAATGAACCGGACATACGTTCATACATAAGGCATACAAATAACTGGCAAAGGGTGTAGTTGTTGAATGGCACGCAGCGAAACACGGTGAAGACATTCAATCTATATTTTTTTATTGGTCGAGAAATATGTTTGTAAATATTACGGTATCGGCTCTAGGCATATATTATGGAGACTTTGGCCAACTGTGTCAACAATATGCTCAGCTATGAGTTTGTTGAGGGACATTATTTTCAATGTGATGACACCTGCTCATTAACTAAGAGAGCTTCTCATTTACACCTCCTGTCATACTCTTTCTCAACTGCCCTGCTGATCGTAATGTGTTGACAGTGTTGTTTGTCAGTCAGCCTTTCACACGTTGGGGCTCACGCTGTGGCTTTTCTTGCCGTCTCTGTGTCGGACTCATAGGTTTGAAACTCCTCTGTGCAGAGGATGCCGCCGCGCCAGGGTGACAAATGACAAACGTGAAGGTGAGAGACAATGAAAGTTACAGAAAAATGAGTATATATATCGAGCACTCACCTAACGTTGACACTTCTATACAAACTGTTTCCCAGGCAGCCACCCCGAAACATGAAGGGGAGTGATACTGACAACTGTGACACTGCTATGACAGGTCCACTGGCTGGCACAGGTACTAAACCAATTTGGTGTTGCATATGAACTGACAGCTGAACTTTCTCACTGACACAGCATGTTTTCCTTTAATTTTATGACTTGGCCCAATGGAAATGCATGTCATAGTGCAGTTAATGAGCAAGTAAAATGTGCTTCAAATATTTAAACCTATTAGTTTCTCTTGAGTGTAATCAAGAAAGTCTACACAGCATTTCACAGTGCAAGACACCAGGACAGATTTGTTCAGAAACCAGACGGATTACCTTGTGGCACAAGAAGAGACCGTCTGAGCCAGACTGAGCTTTCAGAGCTTCCTCTTGAAGTGGCAGATTGCGGAAAAACAGAAACAACTGTGGGGAAATAAATCTTTTACAACATGTGTAATCTCTTCAGAAGAGACAAATAGAAATCCTTTGATCAAAGACGCAACGATTATGTTAGACTTATGGGAAATGTGGTCTAAATTTTGACAGGCACTAACGATATTCCTGGTGGTGCAATAGATACAGTGAACTCACCTGTGACCTCATTTAATTAGAACTAATCCAGTCTAATACATCAGGAAAAACCTACAAAAAATATCAGAAAACTACAATCCATTCTGCAGAATCAAACTTTTATTTTGAAAATCTTCTGTTGGAGGCGTAGCATCTTTCCGAGGCCGGCCTTCTGTGTGTCCAGTCCTCATTGGATAATTGAACCGGTCACACGTGGCATTTAAAAAGGCTGTGCTTCTGCTTTTTCTGTAAATCCCTGTCGAAACCCTGAACAGCACTGTGCTAATGTTACTTTTTTACGGTCTCCTAGGTGCAGTCCCCGGCCTTCTAAAAGTAGCAGTTTTTAGTATTTGCATTGTTAAGTGAGTTTGCTGTCAGTTGAAACATTTCAGACACAAGAGAAATGGAGCCTTCATGACATAAAGGTGTGTGTGTGAATTAGCAGCAATTGAAGCTTTGGGTTTTTATCATTTTTATTTTTAATGTGCAATAATGTTGGAATTGCAGAAGGATAGAAGTGGACAACTGACTTGACAGACACACTGCACATATTAGTCATTGTTAAGTTAAATTCAAACCATATTTTATGTCAATCAAAATGTTTAGCCACTAGCTAGCCACCAACAGGCTGGCTAGCTTCCTTATTTAGCTACTAGCTAGCCATTTACAGGATGGCTCACTGTGAGAGCTTGCGTCGGCCTGCTCAGCAGTGCAGAATCAGTGGACTTTTGACTCATCAAAGCCTTTATTTTTCACAAATATAGAAGTCACAACAAGAACAGAAGAAAGAAACCTCCCCCTGGCATTGGCTTTAAACATGTTTCGCAGCGTTCGCCAGCAATGGCAGATGCAACTACGTGCAACATGTGGCAGCACACTGCGAAACACTGGGGGGGGGGGGGTCTGAATCAATTAGCTTATTCAACAACTCCCAGCGACACGGCGAGATTTCAAGTTGTACCAGCTCAAGCGAGGTGGATCTGACGAGCTTTCAAACGTGACTCCGAGGTGAAATGTGTTTCACTTCCTCTCAGATGGTGAGCCGTCTGTCTGCAGCTGGCTGGCTGGGCTCTGTGATGATGCGTCTGCTGGATTGACAGCATTGCCGGGGAAGTTGGAGATTGACGAGGTGTGTGTGTTTGTTGATCCTGATAATAATTCACAGGGGCTATAGCTGTTTCAATGGGTAGCTCTGTACTGATTAATCCTCAGGAAGTAAAGGGCGGCTCGCCTCCTCCCTCCACCACAGAGCTGCATCAGAAATATAGAAATCCATGCCAAATCTAACAGCAGGCACGTTATGTGTCTCAGCTGGATCATACCGCCTCGTATATCATTGCACTTCACCCAGCACCATATTGCTCCACGGCGGCACGTTACCAGTGTCTACTGGCAGGGAAATAGTGATTCACCTTGCGTTTGTAGGAATGAAGCCAGTATAACACAGTACACGCTACAGTACTATCCGTCTGTGCAGGAATTAACCCCCGAATGCAAAAGGAAAGATCAGAGTCAGGTTTTAAGAAGAGAGAGAGAGAGACGGAGCCTCACGGTGTTGGAAAAACACAGCTTTGCTTGTTCCTTCACTGGCTTTGTCGTTACCAGGCAGATTTCCTCCATCCAGACAGCCAATGAGCCACCGGGCCAGCCAGCCAGACAGCCAGCAAAGCCAACCAGTCGGCCAGTTCACCATCTGGCTGGCAAGCCTATCGTGGAGCGAGCCAACGCCTGTCTGTACTGTACTGGTGTGGCACCAGTGGCTAGTGGTCTTGCTTCTCTCTGTCTTAAACATACACACACACACACACACACACACATGTTTTCGTCTGCCTCTGTGTCCTTCAGAGCTGCTTAACAGGAGAAAACAACCCGAAACAAAAGACTGCTACCCGTTGCCCAGCTCGTCCCGTTCCCTCCGGAATAATAAGCACCATTTCGTTTTTTGCTTTTTTTCAAATCACCAACTTATTTACACAAATGCAAATATGTGTGTATACACACACACACACACACACACACGGACCACTAGTACTCTCTAATCCTCTGCCCGATTTACCCTTGAGCCCTGCCAACTCACTCTCCTGGACGCGAAAGCATAGGCGCCGGTTTGTTGTTGATGTATGCTAATGGCCAACATCCATCTGCTCGTGTGCTTAATTTGGATTTTGCTTGTTTCCAGCCATGTTCCCGCCCCTCCTACTCCAACGTTCCCTTGCCCCCATCCACACCACATCCTCCCTCTCCTATGCCACCTCTCCATCTCCTTCCTGCTGCCCCGCCATCAGCGGGCGGCTTGTCTGCCTGGATGGCGGCCAGCTCTCGCGTGGCCAGGGCGTGGAGGGGGGAGGAGGGTCCACCCCGCCCCTTCCTCTCCGTATGAAAATTAGCCTTGTTTTGATTAAAAGACAGCTGCATATTTCATTAAAGTCACCGGCGAAGGTGGCAGAAGAGAAGGCGCACCTCTGGGGAGGCGAAGGTTGTTTAGCTGGAGTGAATGTTGCTGTTTAGTGCCGCTGAGGGGAACAAATAGCGAAGACAAAAGAGCTGCCCGGGGACTGCTTTGGGGTTTAATGGGGCTGACTCACAGGCACATCAGTTAAAGCTCACACTGATGCGGAGTGTGAGTGAATGTGCGTTGCATGATATCCAGAGCAATTGACAATGAAATATACCCCCACCCCCACCTCCTCATCAGCCATCAAGGTGCTTCGGCATGCCAAGGCAGTTGCTTTGAGACCCACTGCTGCCAGGCTGCTGAGGCAAACACAGTAACCGCTGTTTCTGAGTAATAAAATGAGAAATGGGTTCTCGTGTGGCCATCTTTTACTCCGTGGCAGATAGGCTGCTCCCATGTGGGCCGGGGAAAAGGAAAAAACGTTGCTTCCCCGATGCATTTTCAACTCTTCAATGAAATAAGTTGCTTCTCTCAAAGTTTTCACCTCGTCTTCTGCCTTTTCACTGCCTCAGCAATGGTACAAATGTATCATCTCCTTTTTTGCGTTTTGTTTTTTTTGTGTTTTTTACCGTGAATTGGGGACTTTAAAAAGGCTTTCTTCTTTTTTTCTGGTTGAGGGTGGCAGTCGCCCTGCAAGAGGTGGTCGAGGACGACCTGAAGGGTGGCCGGGCGACCTATGAGGTCAGAGGTTAAGGAATGGAAAGGGTGGAAGGGGAGGATCTCTTGGCTCGGAGCCAACTCCAGTGGAAATCAAAGACATGGGGAGGGACCAGGAGGACGCAGTGTGGTGGTCGCTCTGCATAA